GCGAAGCTTAAGGAGAAGCCATACTTTTACATACCACGAGATGTCTTTGAAAGGAAGGTCGATGCTCACAAGAAAAGATGATTGAACTTCGTAAGCCTTCGCCACTATCAAACTAAGACCGCCTCCCTCGTGAAGTCACATGATGCGAGATAAGAAAAGGAAAAGAGCATCGTGGAAGGATGTCCCACACTCGGACAATGTAGCAACCAATGCAAAATCTTGTTGTTGCTAATAAATATGGTTCCAACATAGAAGTCTATCGACCGACATAACTCGAGAAGTGTCGGTTCAAGCCCTTAATGCTTTTTTTTGAGATACTTTGGTTTAACCTTGGATCAATTGACGGGCAAAGCTCCAATCCAAAACCTAGAAGTTGATACCGGAAGACTTATAAATATGGCAAAAGTCTATACAACCTCAAGCTCTCGAATGAATTGGGTACGCAAATGTACTTGCTCAACAAGTGGTACATGCAGGCGTGTGGCAGGGGTGAGCAGTGGATCTTTGTCAGATTTAGAGACCATCATTACTTCCGTGGTGATGACATCTTACATATTAGTTTCGAAGACTTGCATCAACTATACCACTTGGACGTTCTGGACAAATCAATCATTAGCTCCTTTTGTTTGTAAATGATTCTTACTTTTATTTAATAAACTCACTTTCATGCGTACGTGTATATAAATATCCTCACATGTAACTTATATTTATATACAGATTCCAGATGTCAGAGCTCCAAAGAATACAAGACACTAGTGTTGGCTTCATTGATCCTTATATCGTATTCAAAACCGGTATTATTATCAAGGAGCGGTGGATATCTGAAGCACAGGAGAATATCATGATGTTCTTCGTGAAGCAGCACGACAAGACAACAATACTTTTCCCGTACAACTTTGAGTAAGTGTTAATAATAATATAGTCTACACATTTTATGTAATATTAATACAACTTATATGCATGTACATGTGTGTATAAACCAATGCAGTTTTCACTGAATACTCATTGTCATTGAGTTAAACTCAAGTCGGTTAGTAATCTTTGACTCGTTGAGAAAAGAGCGGGCACTATACCAAGATATGGTAGACATTATCCAGGGGTAATTTCGATCTCTTGGGCACAACTATTATTAAATAGACTTTGCCATAATTTATTAACGATCGTACATTATTGGTCGCATAGGGTTTGGAAAGAGTTTATTCGGCAACATCGCAAGAATTGCAAGGCACCACTTAATGTAGTTGAAATACCAGTAAGTTGTACTATATACACTTCCCCACGTGTTTAATTACTATATCGTACTTCAATTTACGTGTGAGATGATGAGAATAATCTTCTTCTCGTACAGTGGTGTTTGCGGCAGCAACCAGGTAATAACTTGTGTGGATACTACGTTTGTGAATTTATCACTGCGCACATAAGAAAAACTCCTAAAGATGTCCTCAGAGTATGTATATATCAATTTTTTATTTATTTTTAAATGAATATATATATATATGTATTAATACTTTTCCTTTTATTTCAAATGCAAGACTGAATGGTTGAAACGAAGGGTCATGCAAAAAGACCATCTGAAAGCAGTTCAAGAGTCAATAGCAGGATTTCTTCTAGAAAAAGTGCTAAATCCCAACGGCGAGTTCTACTTTGATCCTAAGGAATAAATTGTGTAAATTAAATGTTTATTGATATCATTATTTTCGAGAACAAGATTATGAAAGTGTTGTATATATACATATATATATCTATAATATATATATGTTCATACTTTATTCGAATATAATAATGCTCGAGATGAGAATTAGATGTAATTATATGCGTACGTGTATTTATATTAGCAGCGTAGAATACGTACATAAAAACATATTATATATTAAACAAATACGTGTAACTGAACAGAAAACAAATTAAACAAAAAAAAGAAAAAGAAAAGAAACATTTAGTCCCGGTTGGGGTTACCAACTGGGACTAAAGGGTGCGACCATGTTTGCTCGGCTGGAGGGCCTTTAATTCCGGTTGGTAACACCAACCGGGACTAAAAGTCCCTCTTTAGTCCCGGCTCGATGACCCGGGACTAAAGGTGGCACCTTTAGTCCCGGAATCGTTGTCCCGGCGCGGTAACCGAGACTAAAGACCGTTACCGTCCGGGACAACAAATCCATTCTGTAGTAGTGTACTGCCCTACTAGAGGCATCTTGTTGATGTGCTACCATAAGGGTGTCTTGCATATTTCAGAAAACGTTGTCGGGGTATCTTGCATATATGAGATGATGCTGTTGAACATTTTGCATATGTCATTGGGTGTCATGCATATGTTAGATGATCTCAATGTGATGCCCCTAAGGAGATTACGAAAATTGATCCCCCTTTATGATGCGAGCAGAAGATATGGGTGTACAAAAGATGAATGACATTAGTATATGGCTCTAGAAACCATGTGGCATAATTGATATATGGCTTGGTAGGAGTTAGTACATGACCGAGTAGAATTCTAAGTTCACTTGAAGTACAATACAAGTTGTATAGCGTAGTAGATCTAAACGTATTAGTGTACCCTTAGGATACTATCTTTATATCTAGCCATATACTTGTAACAGAGTCCATCAATAGATCTATATCTCTTAAAAGCTAATCTCTACTACAAGTTCCATCTCAACATGCAGGCCACCGATATCATCTCCCACTAACTATCCACATTATATTTGCAACTAATAGCCATGTCATCCCATTATTTTTGAGTCTGTCTACTGCATAACCATGTGTTTTATACAATTCTAACACATGAATTTATTTGCACCATAAGATTAAGATCCAACAGCCTTCATTCTTTTTCTACCTCTAGCCTTCTTCTACCTTCAGACAATCACAAGATCACAGATCACATATCATAGAAAACATTTTTTTTCTATGGAAGGACAAATTACAGAGCGGTTGGTTCCATTGCCTGCCCGTTCGTCATGGGTCGTCGCGTCGTGGGGCCCCTGGCCGGGCGCGATTCTCGATGCATGAAGGAGGCAGTCGAGGCGCAGAAGTCGCTCAGGACCGTCGAGGCACATAAAGCGCACTGCTGGTGTTGCGCTGTCGCGTGCGCTCGCCGTGTGTTTTTTTGCTAAAAAATCTATGTGTTTTTTTTTGCTAAAACACATGTGTGTTGTATATCATTTCTGTTATTTTTAATATCTCAATACAAGCTATCCACGCCATATCCACTTGATTTTATTCTAAAATTTTCACAATCTCAACGGCAACGTGAGGTGTAACTTGTAATTAACATTTGCCTTTTGTTGTGACGTAAGAAAATATTGGTTGTTAATTGAATTTTTAAGCACTAGGATTATACTGGCCGGCACTAAGAGCCTCTTTGGCAGGGCTCCTGCAGGGGCTTCAGCTCCGGCTCCTGCAGGAGCTGTGCCAAATGTCTGTTTTGGAAATGGCTCCGTATGGGGAGTCGGTCAAGAGCCGGAGCCATTTTTTGCCTGCGCAGGAGAAGTCTAGAAAATGAGCTTCGCGCGGCGTGCGAATGAGCCGTTTTGCCAAACGTTTTCCAAAATGGCTTCAGCTCCTCTAGAGGAGCTGCTCCTTCAGAGGAGCTAGAGACGGAGCCATTTTTAGAGGAGCCAGAGCCCTGCCAAATAGGCCCTAAATGAAATGGTAGGGGTAACTAGATTGAATTAATGATGAGGGAGGGAGGGTTATATTATTTCGTTAGAAATGGTTATGACTGTGGACAGATTTTAAATGCTAAAAATGTGTATATTCATAAACGGAGGGAGTTTTATATATGGACGATATTGATTTCATATTATGGAGCTGCTAAAAATTATTGCAAACCATGCATCGTAGGAATACGGGGGGTATTTAGCCTCTTAGGCCTTGTTTGGATGTATGTGTATCCACCTCAATCCACATATGTTGGAGTGGAACGGAATGAAATTTAGTTCAATTAGGCCCCGTTCGTTTCGCTGAAAAAAAAATCGAAACACTGTTCCGACTGATTTGTTGCGAGAGAAAAATACTGTTTCGGCTGAAAAAAATAAGCTAAAAAATACAATTATAAGACAAACGAACAGGCCTTACACTCCAATTCACTTTAACATACGTTTACGTAGATTAAGATGAATACATGCGGATCCGATCCTTAACAGGCTAAACTAGGAGTGACGTGGTTTTAAAACTCCATCTTGTTCTTTTTGGCAAGGAGGCCTGGTTATATATACATGGAAATAGAGGGGTTTATTTGTAAAAAGAAATAGAGAGAAACAAGCGTATGGCTAGTAACCACTCCTTGCTGAAAACTGAAAAGCCTGTGATCGCTGATTCTGATTTGGACTGCACCGGTGCACCTCCTGCCTGGCTGCCTGCCAACGCACACCGGAGAGCCGCGACCTTTCCAGCGCCCCCGCCCACCTTCTCTGCCCTGGGTTGTCGTCTCCGTCTCTCTCTTGTCGCCGGGCTGGATTAATCGGTCGGTCGCGCCCACCGATGAGCTGCTGAGCTGAGGCCGCCCGCCGCGCGCCGCCCGCGGAGAAGACGAAGACGAAGACGACTCCTCCTACGCTTTCCTCTTTCTTAAATTGAAGCAGCATCTCATGGTACGGTCCATCCTTCCCAGTACTCTGCTTCTTAGCAACCTCTTTCCTTTTCCTGCTGTGCCGTTGTGATCTCATCGTCTTCTCCGCCGGCGGGGCGTCGCACCGCGTGAAGCTGCGTGCGTTCGTCATCTTTATGCGTTTCTTGCCGCGTCGTCAACGAATCCATGATTCCTCCGATCCTCCTCCCTTTCCCTGCGCAACGAAAAATGTTTTTTTTTTGGGTCCTTCACAAAGAAAACCGCTGTTCCATTCAGCTTCAGTTCAGAAATAACCGCTGCTCTGCTGTTACCACCTTCCTTCACGATCGACCAATCCTAAGCTTTCATCTTCTGATTCCATAGCCTCAGCAATTCTAAATTTCCCCTACGAATTCTTGTCTGAAAAAAAAATCTCTCCTTTCAGCTGATCGGCATGCCGCAGGGAGCAGCAGCAACAGCCGTGGACGGCACCGGCAAGGACGGCGGCGGCGGCGGCGGCACCAACCCCAGCACCGCCCGGCCGGCGGCGGCGCTGCCCCTGAAGCTCCTCCGCCCTCTCCTCCTCGTGGCGGTGCTCGGCACGGGGTTCCTCGCCGTCCTGGTCCTGCTCCTTGGCGGCCCCGCCTACTCGTCCATGCTCCCGAGTCTCCCTGCCGCCGCGGACGCCCTGCCGGCGTCGGTGGGGAAGGCGCCGCTGGAGCGGTGGGTGCGGGCGCCCGCGTCCGCGTGGCACAACATGACCGACGAGGAGCTGCTGTGGGCGGCGTCGTGGCGGCCCAGCGTCCGGCGCTACCCGTACCGGCGGACGCCCAAGGTGGCCTTCATGTTCCTCACACGCGGCCCACTGCCGCTGGCCCCGCTCTGGGACCTCTTCTTCGCCGGCGCCGGGGACGCCGGGCTCTTCTCCGTGTACGTGCACGCCACGCCGGGTTACCGCCCCGACTTCCCGCCGGCGTCCGCCTTCTACCGCCGCCTCGTGCCCAGCCAGGTACGCTGCAGTACGCCACGCCACGGCTCCTCTTTCGTTGACGTGTGCTTGCTCGCAAGCTGTTTTGCTTTGACGATCCGGCCAACCATGTCCGTCCATGTTGCACGGCGCGAACGCGAGTACGCGACGGCGAAAATTAGGCACGCACGTCGCACGGTCTGGGTCGTGGAATGTGGATGGATGCCGGAGAGGGGAAAGTTTTTTAGTCAGAGCTGAAAATGATGGCCATTTAAAAACTACTAGTCCTTCTCCGTCCGGTCCTGTATATCAGAAATTGAGGTGCCGGTCAATTTGATGCGACGCAACAAGATGATATGGCATCACCATTGAATCTTCGCCCTTTGACATCATCGTTATACAAGCTCCATCGATATATACGCCCTTTCCCTAAAATTTGGCTGATGCGGCTGCTTATGCTTGTGTAATCTCACTTTCGCTTTCTAGATATGATCACTACTGAAAATTCTCTGCTTTATTTCCAAACGCAAAGTGAGCTGCCAGTGACTGACCACTGCACTGCATATATAAACAAACACAGGTGGCGGCGTGGGGCCAGGTGAGCATGTTGGACGCGGAGCGGCGGCTGCTAGCGAACGCGCTGCTAGACCCAGCGAACGAGCGCTTCGTGCTGCTCTCCGAGTCGTGCGTGCCGCTCTACGGCTTCCCGGCGGTGTACAGCTACCTGACGCGGTCGCGGGCGAGCTTCGTGGGCGCGTTCGACGACCCGAGCCCGCACGGCCGTGGGCGGTACCGAGGCGGGCTGGCGCCGGAGGTGCGGCGGGAGCAGTTCCGGAAGGGCGCGCAGTGGTTCGAGCTGGACCGTGCCCTCGCCGTCGACGTGGTCGCCGACGACCGGTACTACCCCAAGTTCCGGGAGCACTGCCGCGCGCCGTGCTACGTAGACGAGCACTACCTGCCGACGGCGCTCTCCATTGAGGCGCCCGCAGGGATCGCCAACCGCAGCGTCACCTGGGTCGACTGGTCCCGCGGCGGCGCGCACCCGGCCACGTTCGGGGAGAAAGACGTCGATGAGGAGTTCCTCAAACAGCTCACGGCGGCGCCCGGGAAGCGCCAGGGGAACTGCACCTACAATGGCCAGCCAGCGGACGTGTGCTTCCTCTTCGCTAGGAAGTTCGCGCCCAGCACGCTGCGGCCGCTGCTCAGGCTCGCGCCCAAGTTGCTCGGATACGGCTGACTGTGACCGCTCTGCTCTGAATCTGAATTTTCTCCTAAGTGACACAAGGAACCAGCATACTCTGCTTTAACAACTTTGTTTTACAATCTACTAGTATGACTAAACACATGTCGTTACAGTTGATTGGTATAAAAATGTACTCTAGACTCGATGATCGTCATCATCGATGTATAGATTTTCTGATGTGCGTTCCTTGCCTGAGAAAAGAATTCGGCCCTGTTCGTTTCGCTGAAATTTAGCTTATGCTGATGCTTATGCTGTGAGAGAAAAACACTGTTGTTCGCTGAAAAGTACTGCTAAAGTAGTTTATCTTTGTTTCTTTCAGCCGACTGGGACGTTTTGGTTTGATGAAACGTTCTCGTTATTTGTCTCCTCTCAAGAGACGACATGTATATATCTATGACAAGTGGGACCCCATGACCATATCTAGTGACGTTTGTAATGTTCAGAAGTTAGCTATTTTAACACGTTCTCGTAACAAATGAACCTGCCTTTATTACATTTCACATTAAACAAATATATGGAAAAAAAACTGTAAACGTTTTAGGGCACCTTTGGACACAAGAATCTCGTAGGAATCAGTTCATTTTCACAGAAAAAACACAGAAAACATGAAATTTTCCTTCATTCCAGAGGAGGCTTTAACCTTGAACAAACCCAAAACACAACAGACGAAAGCCTCGAGGAGGTCTTGATAGTCAACGCGTACACATGGTCTTGGGCATTTGCCATGATGTCATTTACAGAGGAGGAGGTCATCAGTCATCACACCAACAAATAAATAACACCTCTCACAGAGTTGAGTCTAAGACGACAGCTGCTTCTCCATCCACTCTAATCGAAATTTAAATGTCTTATTACTCAAGCAGAGTCACAATACAACGGATGAAGTGCAACCAGCAGCCAGAATGTGGAAAGAGCAGATGCAGATATGAATGCCCATGCCATGGATCCAAGGATGACCGAAACTTGGAACTGGCTGCATACGAGAGACAAGTGATCATATCTGCTGCAGTAGTTCATATCTATCTCGAGCAGGATATGGCCACACCACCAGCAGAAGATACTGCTGCCAATGAGCCTATTGCTAGGGCCTGTAACACACATAATTACATCAAATGCTCATTTGAGAAGAAAACGTGGAGTAATAATAGTATGGCATTGCAGCAGCATTCATTTTGACACACATATGCCCGGAAAAAGAAGATGGGTCTTTGGTAATGCATGTAATTACGTCCCTAATAAATGTCTAAAAGGACATGAGGCACAAAAAATAAAGAGCTGTAAAATATAAACTGTACTATAATACTGTGACAGGTTTTCTTTGCATTTCTCCAACTAAAACCATCCGGAACGTATAACTGTGATGGCAAGAACAGGCGTAAAAGTAATTAGATGTAAAATAAATAAATAAATAAACTGATTATTCTGGATAGCCGCATGCCTTTTTGTGTCTAATACTGCCCTAATTCTTTACTTTACTCAGTCCTAGTTCCAATACAGCATCTAAACATGATAACCACCCAATGTCATGGTCCCCGAACAGTTAAACAAAAGTGAGAACATTGGAATAGATCAGTGACGGGTATGAAAGTTGAAAGTTCATCTTCAACCTCTAGCCTCACCTCCTCAAAGCTAGCAAAATTTCTTAGAGGGGCTCTAGGGGGCTCCATGCATCATCATTCATTTTGACACACATATGCCCTGAGGAGGATGGGCCCCTCATGTAATTACGTCCCTAATAAATGTCTAAAAGGACATGAGATCCGCCTTGGATAGATGAAACAAACAAACTTACCTAGTCAACCAAAAGATACATGCTTACATTCCCAGTGTTGTGTAGATCCCAGTTATTCTTCAAAGAGATGATATCTATACAACCAAGCAAAAGTGAGAACATTGGAAGGATTCAGGTATGAAAGTTGAAAGTTCATCTTCAACTTCTAGCCTCAAAAAGCAAAAATTCTTAGAACTCCATGGCATCAGCAGCGGTAGGGGGGCTTGAGCCCCCCCTCCCCGCCCCACCGCTGGATCCGCCCCTTTGATAGATGAAACAAACAAACTTACCTAATCAACCAAGAGATACATGCTTACATGCCCCGTGTTGTGTAGATCTCAGTTATTCTTCAAAGAGATGATATCTATACAGCCAAGCGTTTAGGGTTCAGGGTTCAGGGTTGAGAGTTGAGAACTCCAAAGAGACAATATGGTCATTTGATAAGGGATCAATCTGGAAAACAAAAGAATTATTTACAGAATAAATTATCCCACAAGGAAAATCTAATATACACATATGTGAAGGATGTATATTGAAATGAATTTTGTCAAAGCAGAAATGAACAATAAAGGCTTTGATGACGCACTCACCTTTGGTACTGTGCTTGTTAATTTAATTTTACACTGTTTGAAAAGTAATCATGAGTATTTATCTATCTAGATCTAAGGGTTAAAAATGCATAGGAATATAGTGCAAAGTGTTGGGCCCAAACTTAAAATTGATGGATCAAGAACCACTACTACACAAAGAGTTTTAAAACTAATCATGACTATCTAGATCTAAGGGTTAAAAATGCATATATATAGGAATATAGTGCAAAATGTTGGGCCCAAACTTAAAATTGATGGATCAAGAACCACTACTATACAAAGAGTTTTAAAAAACTAATCATGACTATCTAGATCTAAGGGTTAAAAATGCATATATAGGAATATAGTCAAAGTGCTGGGACCAAACTTAAAATTGATGCACCAAGAACCACTATTATGAAATGAGTTTTCATATATATCTTCGGCTGTGTAAGTTTCCTGGACTCCAAACAAGTGTAAGTTTCCTGGACTCCAAACAATAACCGAACCTTGTATCTCAAGGACTAGTAAACTAAATATAATGGATGATGTGGAGCTTTTACGGGGAGCTGTTGATTTTGATGATGCTCGCCCCATTGGACAATTAACAGAAAGTGACACTGAGTTACTGATCAGAAGGTTTTTCTTGAACGGATCCGTTGGTGTCCTATTTACTCAGAAGGTTTCTGCTTTAACAACTTTGTTTTACAATCTACTAGTATGACTAAAAACATGTCGTTACAGTTGATTGGTATAAATATGTACTCTTTTTTCTTTGCGAAAAATATAAATATGTACTCTAGACTCGATGATCGTCAGCATCGATGTATAGAACCCAAAGATGCAAACTGGGGGATCAACTCTAAATATACAGATGGGCTGCCATGGTAGTTCAGTTTCAAAACCTAACTAAGATATCAATTTTTCACTTCCTTGACACTACGGCGTGTGACTGATGACGAAAACAAAATGAAAATGACAAGCAATGCAATGCGACCCATCGCAACGTCATGATACGGACAACCCCTGCAAAACCCAGCGCGCCGGTAGGCTCAAAGCCGCTCAGAGAGACGACCGCGTGCAGGACAGACACCCACGAACTCGAATGCGGCTGGATCAGACTGTCAAAGGTATCCTACCAAGATGATCACTCAGTCAATAGATCGCGTGTTTATAGATCCTAAAACAACCGGTTGTATATAGTTTAGCTTTCGCCTAATTATATTCTACCACTTGAACTAGGTATACCATGTGTTGACGCAAAGATCGGTCACATATTAGCAAATGCTAGATTGCTCGGATCACCACCCACGGACCGAAGAACGCAACGGATATCCAACGCGCTTTCGTGGTGAAGAGCTGGAGTTGAGGACGCAGAGGCTGATGACGACGACACAGTCGACACACGAGCAACTCCCTTCGGGGGCTCCGGACAGCAGCCATGAGCGGGGATAACACCAACAAACAACGCTAACTAATATATATGAACAGAGGAATTGGAGGCCGGCTCACCTCCCCTTACTGCCGGCATGGACGCCAGAGACGAAGGGTGAGGGGGGCCGTAGAGTCTGAGACTACTCTTGACGCTCTTACTTTCTCACAGGAGCATTTTGAGGCTTTTTCTACTCGCTGGAGCTTGGCTTGGCCTGAAACCAAGGCAAGGCAGGTACAGATTCCATTCCTGGGCTCAGTTCATTGTGTCTATGTGCTTCACTAATCACAATAGGGTCCGGTCAAAATGAAACCCGTTCGTTTTACATGTCCGTGCACCTTTTTTTATTTTTACTACTATTTTGCTTCAGAAGAAGAAAGGGCAGGTATCGTAACTGTATTGCCAATGGCACTCCATTCAGCGAAGGAGGTACTACAACATCAGAGCTGCCATGACGAGCATTGCATAGTGGTGGAACACAGAGACACTGGACGCACACCGACTACAGTGTCTTCAGAAAAAAAAACGCACATCTTTGTGATCCTGGGGAATCCTAGAGGTACTCCATCAGCAGATTTTCATTGCAGGATCGTGGCTGCCTGGCTGGATCGATCATCATCGGCAATCTGGGATCATCGTGTCACCGCTTAACATTAGGCAGCAGCCAATCAATTAATCTGCAACCGATCGCATTGAAATGAGTCTGACAGCGCCATATCTTTTCTGGAGTCTGCATCCAATTCTCAGCAAGCGCCCATTTCAGTTTCAGCTCATAATTAACATCAGACGCTAGGCGACCCAACCTACCCAACCCAGCCATAAAGCTAGCATTTTTATTATCATTTACTATATACATCTGGCGAAAAAATATCAGCTCAGAACGATCACGCATTCACAGAGCAACAGGAGCAAAAATCATGCATTCTTTTCGTTAGACTGTTGTTACGCGAGAGATTGTCCTAACAAATATATTCTCCGCTAATTTTAGCAGCTGTCTATTAATTACATGGATCTAAACATACCCTTAATAATCATACAACTAAATAAATATGGCTGATAACAAGCGTAATGGAGGTTTTACATGCTAAAAATCTTCTCTTTTTAGATAAAGGCTAAAAATCTTCTCTAGCCAACGAAACCCAACAGATGACAATATATAATTCATATATATATGACCCGGCATTTAGGGTTTGAAAGAGTTATTCATTCTTGATGAGTCGAA